TTGTTGTGTTGCTGTTTCTATTTTCTTCCTTAAACGAAGAAATTTTCTGGTCGTCAAGCTGTTTTTCTTCGTTCGATTCATCTTATGAACTTGGATCTATATTTGCTAGCTATTCTGACTCTTCGTCGTCGGAAATATGATTCAAATTGTCCGCCACTTTTTTTTTTCCTAACTACAATCCAATGTTTCGCTTGCACGATGCGAGAAAACCTGTTTAACTGGTACTACAATAGACGAGTACAAATACCGCGTGATATTTGTACTCGTCTATGGCGTTATTTGTACTCGTCTAGGTGTAGTTGGATAATAAGATCGTATATTTGTCCATAGACATTTTCTGTTCCTTGAAGGTCACAGTTTGCCTCGAACTTCCTTCTCGAAAAACTGTTCGCATCTCGGAACAGGTAATGTCCGTTCATATTTCGCTCTAAATGGAGGTTAGTGTCTGTATAATCCACTGTTTTAGTTGAGTGTATTCGGTCACGTGAAGGATTTACACGAACCGCCACGAGCGAAAATATTTGAATTGATAGGTAAAAGTCCATGTTCCCAGCCGTTTAGGTAAATAAAATTAATTCCTCTCTAACGTAAATACTTTTCAGGTATAGTAGGCATATTGTCTAAGATGCTTAGATTGTGCTTACTCTCGACAACAAGATTAATATTTTTCTTCCGTAGCTGACCATTGTCGTCTACCTCGCAGCTGTAGTTTGTATTTCTTTCTTCTTCAGTAATGGTTAGTCGGTATCTTACCCTCGTACTGTTTTGCATAACATCTCCATTCTTTCTTCAAACGATGCGAGGAGCTTGTCCATCGTCCACCAAACACCAAAAAGACGAAGAATGGTTGAACAGGGCAAACTGCATCTGTGATACCTTATTCAGGTTTGCAGGAACTAAAGGTAAACTCATAAACTTAAATATTTATTTTTCGTCTTGACTCGAGTTTGGAAAGAAGTAACAATCCTGACACCTAGGAGAAATTAAACCTTAGACGTTCGAATACCGCGCATCCATGCTTTAGCTTTGTTACCATTTCCCCTCAGTTATGCCAACAAAAAATTGATTGAAATTTAAATTTCAAAATACCTACCTGTTTTATTTATTGCCTTTCCCTCGTAGCTTAAATCGTACTGAAACCTGTATCTGTGCTGGGATGAAAATCTTAACCACATGCTACGTCCACTGGATCGCCGGGTAAAATAAGGAGTATTTCTTCCACAGAATACACCCAGTAGATTGGCAGACTGATTATAACCATCGCGAATCTCAAGATACTTTTCATCGGCGCAAGGTGCTCCAGGAGAAGAATAAGACTGAGAGATGGCAAACTCTATTTCCACATATTTCTCTTCTCCCACTTGAATGAGCTGAGTTGTATCAAAGTATGGGATACGTTGCCGGGAGTATACTTCCCTGATTATTGGAACTGTAACAAACAACATACTCTTATTTAGGAGTACGTATTTACACACATTGCTTGTGAAGTCTCCTGTTCAGTCCACTTTTATTTCTGCTCGCCACTGACCATCATGCCTTTCGCTAACAAACAAACAGGTCGTCTCACAAATGTTTAACGCAAATACGTAATACAATACTTTAAACATCTCCAGGAAGAAAGTACCTATAAAAGGGGAAAAACCAGTATGGTATCACAGTGGCGACTCTTTGCGAAATAAATGCGTAGGCATGTGAACTATCGTCACCATACACCCCTATGGACTAACGTTTGCTGGAAAAAGTCTGGCGCGGGACCACGAAATTTAGTTTTAATTATCCGAAGGATATGCCTTACAAATATCGGCTGCGTAGATTTTCTAAGTATGTTACTTCTAGAACATAGAAGGGAAATGAAAGACAGGTGCCTATTTAAAAAGCGAGAGCAGGCCTCGTGGACCTCTGCCATCCTGCCACCAGTTTCTTCTCCTAAACCGATGTACATCATTTCACGCTAACTCAAATACTAAGTACCTATGCGAAACAAAACTATTTCATGTTTATTAGGGCTGAACATCAATTGGGACATTGTCCTGTTTCCTGTTCGAGTTGCTTTTTCTTATATTTATGATTTCATTATTCCTTTTATTATAACCAAATCGTTTAGTTACTTATCTACCCGTGCAACAAATTCAATAAATACAAGCTCCAAGGTAGTCAAACGACATGGAGAAAACATAATGCTTAATTCTTGATCAAAGATAACTTGAAGGAATACTAGCGACGAGCAAATTCTTCACGGTCACTTTTTCCAGCGAGTTCGTATCTCGGCTAGGTAACT